GTCAATTATTTTGACAAATCGTTATTTAGAAACGTCAAAATTCAGTTGTTTCCGCAGTTGGCTATCATTTTTCAGAATAAAGCTACTGAAAGTAGGGTTCATCTTTTTTACTGTTTTTCTAGCACTATTTCTAATGAAACTATAAACTTCCTTACATAGCTGAACGCAGAAAAAAAAATATCTTCCAGAATTGATAAAAAACTATATAGTGTGCCATTTGACCAAAAACAGTTGACTGTAGTAATTTTGACATATGTTACCATGGAGACGATCTAATAATGTCATTTGATTGAGTTTGAGCGGCGATTTAAAAATATATAGGGTTTGTTAGAGCTATTTGTTAAAATAAAAGAGATACGAGGCCGCGAATATCAAACTGAATCACCCGGTATATTCGAAGTTGATATACACTTATACTAAAATCAAAATTTATTTAGCATTACTAAATCAGACATTTCAAAAACGATTGTGTACGATTTACATTACAATGACATTTAAATTTAACGATTTAGATTCTCTTTAATCATTCTTTGTTGTTTATTAAAAACTTAAAATAAAAGGGGAGTGTTGCAAGTAAATAAATTCAGTAGATAATATTAATTTATCAATGGGTACATATTTAAAGTTATAATATAAATTTCAATTCTCAGCAACTTTCCTTAATAACATATTTCTGTATTGTTAAAAACAAAGGCAATTTATTCCTGAACGATTTTTATATTTACCGATTTTCTGATCACCCTGTACATGCAAGATGAAAGTTCTCCATGCCAACCACATTTTAAAGACAAGCAAAAATTTTAATCAAGAAGTGAAAAATAAAAATATTTTCCCTCTTTTCTACTCTAACCATGGATATACTGTATATACACATGTAACATGGTTTGAAAATAATCAGCCTCATCAAAATATCTCCACAAATTCAGTTCTGATATATTTCGACACAAGTCTGCCAAATCAATTTTATAGGTCAAAATTGTTTACATAAAATATTTACTTGTGAATATATTAGGTTCACATGCTCAATTTCATCGACCTAATGCAAAACAAATTTATGAGTAAAGACCAGATGAGGTTTGTACAGATGAGTCTCACCTTGACCAATTCCACCTAGCGAACGACCAAGTGTCAACACACTCACCATGGTGAATTTTACATAGGTAAGCAACACCTCACTGCAATTTAGCAGTGACAAATCTCACCTCTCTTTGTCTTGATACACCACAGCGACATAAATTAAATGCGGGCGGCAAAACTCTGAACTAAACTCTCTGGTCATTGTCGACGCACTTCTTCAGGTAATTCGGCGACCTTCAAGGAACCCCCCTACCTTTGGTCGCTTCGGATGGTCATGCCATCGAAGTGTCACAGAACCGCGCCAGCTATACTACTTATCATCCTGTATATCTTAATTTCACATGAAAATTAAACGCATGGTCAAATTGACACATGTCATTCGAAAGTGGACTTATTGCTCTATCAGATTTTGTTTTTGGTTGCTTCGTTAGGTTTATTTTTTGTGGATTTCATTCATTCGAAATGGAATCTCAAGTTGAAAACATTGATAATTTTCGGTAGGTACTTGCTTCATTCTGTTTTTAAGCTCTTCGGGAAACTTGTTGCCATATATGGTGATGATTTCACGTTTTAAAGAAGGTGATTTTAACCATAAATATATAAATCATTCCGGACGCCCTTTTGAATTTGATGAAGAGCAATTGAATCGACTCCAAAAAAATCCAATACAATCAAAAAGGGAATTGGCTCAGAAGATGGAATGTGATCACAAAACAGTATTGAATGGGAAAAGTTCATAAACTCGGCGATTGTGTCCCACATGTTTTGAACGAAAACAATAAGAATCAAAGGTCCGTAATTGCCGCTGGTTCGTTCTGTCGTCATCGTCATAAGAAACGTTTTCTTCATCATATTGTTACTGGTGATGAAAAATGGTGTCTGTACGTGAACTTGAAACAGTGGAAAGTATGGTAAAACCCCAACAAACAAGCAACCCTGCGAATAAGACCAGATTTTCATCTTCGAAAGACAATGTTTTATGTCTGGTGGGATTGGAAAGGGATTCTTTATTACGAACTCTTACCAAACAATTAAACCGTCAACGCAGAAAACTATGTCCAACAACTACCATGATTCCACGCGGCTATTCAACAAAAAAGACCCGAACGACGATACGACGTTTTTTTTGCAACATCACAATGCGCGACCACATATTGTAAATGTGACCAAAACGACTATTAGGGAGTTGAATAGTGAAGTTCTGACCCACCCACCTTGCTTTCCCGATCTCGCGACTTCTGATTTTCACCTCTTCCGCTCTTTGTCATACTCCTTATGCGGTATATCTTTTAACAACGACAATAAGTTAAGATCTTGGTTGGATGAGTTTTTCGAGTCAAAACCAGAGGATTTCTACAGAAGAGGCATCGAGGTCATAAATAACGAAGTAGACGTACATCACTGATTGGCGTACTGATAATTGTAGAGTTAAATTTGAAAAAAAACGGACAGTACTTATTCCCCAACCCATTAATATAATATATAATATGTGCTGTATGAAATATAAAGTTTTTTAAAAAATAGTAAACAAAATATGTACAAAAGGGTTCCTGATATCAATTACGATTTAACTAAATTTAAATTTATCTTTGTTCAAAAGTTGATATGTAGGTACTAAGAAAGAGGCAGTGTGTTAAAGTTGCAATTTTTACATGTAAGTACTCAGATAATTACTAATTACTTACAAACCAAAAATCAGCAGCAGTCCTTATATCATTGAAACTTATTTCGACACCATTTAATGTTTCAAAATTTCTTTCAGCAAACTGTTGCAACAGTCCTTTAGTCAAGTAGTACCATGAGGAGTTGCCAATATTCAGTGCATCTAGTAACAAATATCTGCCAAATTTACTGATAAGAAAATAAATGTTTTGTAATTTTTGACCCAAAAAAATAACCAAATCAATTGACTAATGTAATAAAATTTAAATAAATGATAAATTCCTTAGCTTCGATAAATTGGTCAAATAATAAAACTAAAACTGGTTCTAATTTATTGGACAATTTTAGGAATAGTGCCAATTTTAGTTATATAAAAAAATGCCAGTACATGTACGTTTATAAGTCTATCATGGCTGATGATTTGCGAGTTGGCAGTAATAAATGAATGAATAAAACGTGTAAATGATACTTACAATATTTCATAATTTCAGAAAATTATAAAGATATATTTGCATACTGATTATTATCAAGCATTACTATCAAGTGTCAATTTCCCTTATTTTTTTAGGCGTAGATGCGGTGTTTATTTACGTAGTTTGCCATTTTACTTACATATAGTTACTAACACTACAAAAAATGCATGAAGAAGACTCTCGATAAGAGTAGTTTTCAAAACTTCTTCTCTGTTGAGCTCCTCAGCAATTGCCCTCGTTACCCAAAAAGCTAAAAATTTTAACTTTATTGGAATACAACTATATATAAAAATATTTCGACCGCGGAGTATAGTAGGTATTAATGAAAAATGTTTTGAAACTAAATTTAATTATTGATTGTCACTGAAACTGGCCCTGTGAATCCTGCAATGTTGTATGTTTGTAAACAATAAAGAAATATACATACGTCTTTTTTGTTTAGATTCATATTTTGTATTTTCAACGGCTTCATCAGGCCTATCTTTCAATTCTTCGTACTCTACGTTATCTTCAGGATTAATCGTTGAAACATTATCATTAAAGGTTTCATTTTCATTTTCCTTATTTTGTTGAATATCCTCTGACGATTTTATTTGGTTTTTTTTATTTTTTATATCTTTTGCAGTTGCCATTTCAGTTCATGTATATATGTCAAATTATATATTAATGAAGTTTAAATTTCAGTCATTCTACAGAATACTAGATTTAATAAGATTGCATGGAAATCATAGTAATATAATACTTATATTCCTATACTATTCTATTTATCTTTTACAGGGTATTTTCAAAAAGAATGGCATAAATGCACACTTTTTACAATAAATCGACCGTAGTAAAATGTTCGCCCTTTAGGTGGCACAGCTCCATAAAGTTTCCAAAAAACTATGGAAATGTGGCTGCAATTTGAAAACCAAAAAATGTACAAATGTACAGATACAACTTTTCAACCATTTTTCGAAAATTTCTACCTCTTCTAGGGGACTGACATAAATATCCCCAAGTTATATTAGAAAAAATTTAGTATTAAAAAATACGACGGAGAGAGCTCGATTTATTTTATGCCTTTTATCTTTATCACTTTTTTGCTTTAAAATTGTTTATTTACAAAAATATAAAATTCTTTATTATTTGCAACTTACACAAATACAAATGTGTAAAATCACTAACTCAAAATGAAACTTTCAGACAGTACAAAATTACCTGAAAATTATATAACCTTTTGGAAAATTATTTATCCATTCACATATATAATAAAAATATATATTCCAAACTTCGTCATTGTATCATAATTAGAGATTTTCCTACACACAAACCAGTAAAATTGTCTTTGGCTCATCAAGACTCAAAATCTGATTGAAGTGAAAATGTCAGACAAACGAACAAGTAAAAACAGTACCAGCTTGCAATACCAATAGTGGTGTGAATATAAGTGATAGCAGGAAAAATTAAGAATCGTTATATTAAAAAATCTTAAATTGAGCGTGGTGTGTAGATTGACGAGCCATACTTTAAAAGGCTCTAAATATAATAATTATGGATATTTAATAAAGATTAAAAAAATGAAGTAAATTTTTCCAGTATTGGAAAATTAATTATACTCAATAAGTTTCATTACTTTTTAAGTAAATTTATTAAGTATGCCGTTGTCCTACGTCGTCAACATTAATGTATTTTTTAAATAATTTCCTTACCAATTATTTTAAAGTTTTGTTCCCTGAAATCAGGCAACTCAGAATACAATGTCACGAGCGACCTCTTTTGCTGTAATTAAATACTGTTCAATGAAAGCTGACAATGAAATCCTTTGAGGGGCATGTAGTGCTCAAAGTTTGTGTCATATTTTATACAAATGTTTTGTTTTAAACGTTGTTTTAAGCCATTTTATTATTTTAATTTTTGATTGTTATAAAATCTCATTAGTTTATCATGTGGAAATGTCATAAGTGTCATAAACCCGTTTATTTCGGTAAGTTTTCCTTATTTTATTAACAATAAGTCATTAATGTTTTCTTGTTTTTTTTTTTTTTCATTTATTACATATTCTTGTTTATTTTATGTTTAGAACTCAGAATAGCATGTCTGGTCGAGACAATCAGTATTAGTAGTGGATACAGTTTTGTGAATAAAATTTGTAGCCATGAGTGATTTTAATAAAAATATTAACCAACTTTTGTTGCTTATTTTATAGCTGAAAGAAAGCAGTCATTAGGATACAATTGGCATCCCGAATGTTTAAGATGTGAGGAATGTGGAAAAAGACTGAATCCTGGACAACATGCAGAACATAAAGGTGTACCGTACTGTCATGTGCCTTGCTATGGGGCCTTATTTGGCCCACAGTTGTTTGGTCATGGAACCAGGGTAGAATCTCATAAAAGTTTTGGAGCTTTAAGGGATTCTCCCAAGATTGGTAATGGCCCTGCTTTGCCTAGGTCTCATTTGGAATCAAAAATTAAGGTATGAAAACTTATGATCCTTTTCAGTACCTACATAAAAAGTTACAGATATTTCTTTCACCTGTACCTTGTGAAAAGTGCATTCTTTAAATTACCAATATCTATAATATTTAATAATAGATTTTATTTTGAATTTGGATAATTGCAACATGTTCAGAATGTTAAAGTCGAGGTTAAAGTATACCTACTTACCAATATCTATTTGACATACCTTAATAATTACGTGATACAAAGTATGTAGTATTATTAACTTAATTTTAACAGAATAAAAGATTATGTATCATAAATGCTGTAAGCTAAAAACTAATCACATATTTAATGTAGAATTAAGGTAAACTGTAAACTGTGCATACTGTCGAAGATACATATACACTATCATCATGATTTTTATCATATTCGAAATCACATTCACATAAAAGGGTAATATTGAAACTGAAATATTTGCCTTCTTTCAAAATCCATCCAACCAAATTTTTGGCTTTCACAGGTGCTAGAGCTCTTTAGGTTAGGTTAGTTATGTATCACATAAGAAAAAAGTTGTCGAAGACCCATTTTAAAAAATTTATATAGAGTTCCTAGAATAGGCCCATTTACATGGACAGTTTTTCCTAGAATTTTGAACCGTACACTAATCGCAAACACTAAATATGTGCATCCAAATATTCACTAGCAATCCACACCAGTTGTGAATTTCTGGCTTACATGCCTGGACAACAGGTTCAAACCTGCATTACCTTATCTGTTCTATAATTTGGCCTTGCATTAGGACATTTTTGATTTTAACAATAATTTCCATTAAAATTTTAAAAAATGTCTGATCTAGTGACAATTTAAATTTATCAAATATATACAAGTTTTCCATGTTTATGGGAAATTTAAAGTGATAATTATAAGAAAAATAAAAAACTCGATAGTATGGGCCTACTGTGAGGATACAAAAAATTTAAATAAAGTTTGGGACACGTGGTGTTAAATGAGATGAAGTAAGCTCCATTTTAGTAGTATTGTCTTCGAGATTTGACAGAAACTAATGACATCATCAATTATATTAATTTTTTTCCAGAAACATACCCAAATTTTTTTCCTGTTAAAAAGCTCTCTTTTTTCTAATTCTATTATAATATATAACTCTATTAAGGAAATTTTTCTGTATTACTTCCCTTTTAAAAGTTATAAGCAATATCGTCCTAAAGAGTCTCAAAAGAAATACCACCTAAAAATCACATTAGTGGTGAAAGGATCAAGTAATACAGTTAAAACAGAAGCTTGAACAGAAGGTAATAATAACAATAACTTTCATACTACATACATATTTCAATCTATTCTCTATATGACCTCCTCTCATTTCAAGCCACATATTCAATCTTTGCCTGATTTCTTTGTGGGCTGCGTTTATTAACATTTCGCTATTTTACTCATTATACACGTTTGTGATTTTTTCAAATGTTTAATATCTCGAGAAGGGTTTTGTAAACCTTATTTTTTAAATCCTCCCATAAAAAAAATCAAGGAGTGTTAGATCTGGTGACTCCAGACCACTGAACAGGTCCATTAAGCCCAATCCATTTTTCTGGGAAAATGTTATCTAAATATTACTACACAATTCTGGCCTTGTGGGGTGGAGCCCCTTCGTGCTGAAACCATAGGTTTCTCCTTAGCTGCAAAGGCACATTCTCCAGAAGTGCGGGAAGTTTTTCTTGTAGGAAATTTCGATAACTCATGCTGTTCAATGTATGTTCATAAAAATAAAGCCCAATTAAATACTTATCCATGATGCCGCACCATACATTTACTCCAAAATGGCCTTTTGGACTGGATTTACAATGTGGGGATTTTCAATGGACCAGTAGTGTTCATTGCGCCTGTTTGTCAAACTATTACTGGCAAACCGACTTTCGTCCATCCAAAGATCATGCCAAAAAAAAAGGTTCTAATCAACAGTTTCTATATTTACTACAATTTGAGCTATAAAATTAAGTCTGTTTTCATTATGACGCTCAGGCAAATACTCCAAATTGTGAATTTTGTAGTCATGAAACCCATTGGTCTTTGAAATTTGTTGAATGGCTGATTTATCCAAATTCAATTCCCGGCTAGCCTGCCGTGTAGAATTTCGTGGATTTTGTTTAAAATACTGTAACAGTCTAGCTGTATTAACATTGTTTCTTATCCTTCGGTCAATTATTTGATTTTTCCGAACAGAAAAAGCATCTTCATTTCGTCGCAAGGTCGCCTCCAATCTTGTAAATGTTCTATGATCAGGAATGAGGCACTCTCAATATCTTTCTCAATATAACTCTACAGCTCTTCTTCAATTTTTTTTGTGATTCGCCATAAATTAGCAACAAATCAACTTTTTCTGAATGAGAAAACTTTTTGTAAGCACAAAAGTTAAGTATACGTTTGATGTTCGTATTGAGTAATGACAAGTATTTTCTGATATTTATGCACTTTAAACAACGAACATTCAATTATTTTCCAATTACTACTTGATCCTTCCACCGCTAATATGATTTTTAGGTGGTATTTCTTTTGAGCCTCTTTAGGACGATATTGCTTATAACTTTTAAACGAGAAATAATACAGAAAAATTTCTCTATTAAAAGTTTATTAGAAAAAAGAGAGCTTTTTTAACAGGAACAAAATTTGGCTGTTTCTGAAAAAATATAATTGATGACATCATTAGTTGTTTCTGTCAAATTCCAAAGATAATACTTTGGATTGAAAATTAAGTTTACCTCATCCCATTTAACACCACGTGTCCCAAATTATATTTAAATTTTTTGTTTCCTCACAGGCTCGAGTTTGAGACACCCTGTACACAAGAACTTAGAAAAGTCATGAAATCAAAAAGTAGTTCTATTGAAAAAAACATTCATAAATACCTAATTTATAAAATCTTCAGCATTATTTTCTTAAAGTTCTTTCAAAAGCAGCATATTTTCATAATGATTTATATTTTCACAACATTTTTTGCTCATGTTTTATATTTTCATTATTATTATTTTTTGTATTGATGTAAACATATATGAAACAAGTTATTGGGTTTATTTTTTCTTGTCATTTCAAACTAACTGGCATGACATACATAAGTATCGTTTACTAATTAGGTACTACAGATGTGTTTGTCACATCATATGGATTTGATGAAAATTCCACATGCCATTTCAAAACTATATTTTGCTTTCACTTGGATACTTGGCAATGACACTCCACACCTACAGTCCTAGCATGCAAACTTGGATTATTATTATTTCTTGTACCAGAAGTGTTTGCTTCAACACCTAGCTCCAGCGCAATGTGCCTGTAGACCGGTCTATTGACCAAATACTATAACCAGTTGGCCCCAAATAGCGATTTGGAAAAAAAATGTCATTTTGTGTTTGACATTTTTAATATTTCACTGCATATTTAACTATTATCGTATTTTATTTTTATTTTTGTGCAATTTATATATAACTTAAAATTAAATTGGTTTCAGTACTGTAGATTACGATATACAAATGTAAATTTCTTTACTGGTAAAATATATCTTATAATTTTCAATTAGTCCCTGGGTGCTGTTAGAAGGAACCTAATGTAAATATTTTAGTCCCTTTTTAAGTCTGGATGGATAGATTTCAGAATAATGTATCAGCGGCATTTGCACTATTTGTAACACAAATCTTTGTTATAAAATATCGACATATTTTGTGGTTGTGGGTATAAAAATATTCATTTAATATGCTAATGTGAAAAGTACACTGATATCTGTAAGTAAAAACTTATTATCAACTATAACTCTATACAAAAAAATGTTCATTTGTTTATTAATTAAAAATTCCTCATATCTTTGAAGTCGGTAAATTTTGAAAACTTGATTCCATTAAATACTTCTTAATTTGTTAGGAATAAAACAGCACACACAAGTGGTAGTAATGGAATATTAACATCAAATTGTTTTAGAATATATCTCTAATATTGCTGTATTTAAATAATTGAAAGTCATACTTATGTGAATAATTAAATAGAAAATTATGTTTATTTGTAGATTTGATGTAGACAAAAATACAGAACAAAACTACCATACTTCAAGTGTAAGCTTACTCATCTATTCAATCTAATCAATCAATCTAATCAATCAGTCAATCTAATCAATTTAAATCAAGTTATAGGTCAAGTTACTTTGGTAGAATTTTACTTCCTTAGAATGTTACAGGCCTTTAAGGAACTGTTTTTTATTTATTTTTTTACATTAACTTACATTTTAAGATATTTAAACTTATCTAGGGATAGGTGTGTTTTTGGGGTAGCTAACTGTGAACATAGCCTTATTTTTTTTACTTAGACATACTGTTTCATACTTGCAGAAATCTACCCGCTTTCTGTGGCAATCAACGATTCGTTAAAGAGAAAAAAAGATTTCAAAGACTTTTATTTTCTTGTCAGTGCAATTACACTATTTGGACGTGCAATGTAAAATTCTGTGTATCGATAAAATACATACATGAAAAAAAAAAACAACTTATCATGGGTTCTGTTACTGCTCTCCACCACTTGTTTCTTACATTCTTCCACCTGAGGGATATTTTGAGAAATTGGAATATTCCTCGATAAATTATAGGAAAGCTTGAATACTCTGCATTTCATGCTTCTCTGATCAAATCAACTTGCATGGGCAGGTCTCCATTTAACATTGACACTTGTGTCCTCTTCTTCATGATCCTCCAAATCTTTAGTAGTATAGCAACACACAATGTGATATAAACATTGAACATGACGCTTTGGTTGCCCTCTGACTCTGTACTTTCTCACATTCTGTACTTTCTCACCAGTACTGTGCGCTCATCTTTACCTGGGAAAACCTCTGTCGCACATTCAATGAGCCAGTTCATACCTTTATGATTGTCACTCCCAATAACTACTAAATCTCCAACCACAACCTGTTGGTTATCACATAAAAACATCTGATCACATAAAAACATCAATGGACATATCGGGATTGAATCTTTTGGGTCTTTGAAAAAAAAAGTTAAGAAAAAAGAAGTTAAAAGTCTCGTGTTCACCATGGCCGCAAACTCTTATATGACGATTTGTAAGTCATAGTCTAAGCAATTACAGAGCCTTCATAAATGATTACAAGCCACGTGATTGCCGAGCTTAGGCAACCAACAATTCACGGCTGGTACTGTTAACTGAAAATCTCTAAATCTTAGCGTTACCAATATTAATGATTCATTAACAATGAACAATGACTAACCGTTACATCTACACTCAAGGTAATGCGATCGCTGATATAATTGCCAAAGTGAAGGAAATAAAATTACTGTTCGAGTTTGACCCAAACTGTGTTTTTTTCTTCTTATTTTTGACGAGAGTGCCAGTGACAATAATCTGTCAAATTTTTGTAGACAAGCTCCGTCATTGTACATTTTGTAATATGTATGTCGGCATCACCCTTGTAACCGCTTATGAATTCGTAGCCACTCGAAGAACTGTCGCCGTCTATGGAATGTTGAGGGCTTGTTTTTGTTTATGTTACAGAAATATTACAGTAGCAAATTGTTATCTCTTCAGGGTTAAGTTTTGGCCTGTGTGTGAAAGACCATCATTATCTAACTTTTGTAAACACTTCCTTATATGGTCATGTTTGGTAAAAAGTAAACTGATAGGGTAGAGGAATGCACTGGGTAACGCCCCTGTGAAAGGAACAAAACTGAAAGCCCGAGAAGCAACGGCAACATTCAATTGATAAAACAACCGTAGCCGTGTGACTTTTATTATTATTATTATTAGTATTATTACTGTTATTATTGTTTTGATAGAAAAGTAGTGAATAGGTTGCTAGGGCTGACAGTGGCGGACCGTTAGTTCCTATTTTATAACTTGTATAACAGCTCCCGTACTTTAGTGTTCGAGCTTGTAATAAATAGTGTCACGTCACCCGTTTATTATTTCGATGGAGACAATGGAGCAAACTAATTCCCATGTCCCCCCGTGTCTCCGACATGTATATTTAGTTGTTGATGTACTAAACAGGCATCGAAAAATAAAATAAAAAATTATTACGAGCAGTATAGTATAGTAGTATAGGCATACAAAGGTCCAGAACCAGCACCAGAAGATTCCAACGGATATGCTGTAAGCAATACAAGTTGCAACAGTTTGAAACAAAATTACTAGTCACGTGACTTGTAATCATTTATGAAAGCTCTGTATAACCCAAATTTTTCTCTACAATATTTTCAACAACAATCTGGTTAGTAACTGCCAAAATCTTCCTCACCACAACATTATTGCATCTCCCACCATTTGGAAAAGGGATAATACTTCAGGAAGTCATTCTTGTGAGATAATGCACTCTTAGTAGAAGGCATTTCTTATGTCTCATACACTCCCACCTTCTCAATTGTGTTACAGTGTCTTTAGAATAATCAGTCCCGCCTTCACAACATCTTTTGAGACCCTGATATAATTTTTCAGGGTTCTTAAACATCCTTCACATTTCTTCATGTGAGACATACTTTTATACAACAAAAACAAGCTATTTTCTTTATAAGTATGTGTTTTAAAACAAACTCTGCTGTCATGGGAACTATTACAAAAGGTACAACCCACAGTTTTCTTATGACCTATCTTTGTTACGCGTTGACTGAGAATCCAAGGTCTTCTGTAACCAATGTAAATATGTGCTCACTCTCAACTCCACATTTTCAGGTTTTCGGTGCTGCAGAGACCTGCAAACCATTGTCAAATTTTCAATAACTCGTGAGGTAAGCAAGACTTTATTAAAAAAAATAGAGTGTCATATATATGACATACACATGGAGACAATGGAGATTGCTTATTTCCCAATGTCTCCGAAGCATGTGACTGTGTTTCAAGTAGATTATACAGTTTCGCAGTGTCCCCTTTCTGTTGTGGCATAGGCATTTGTTTATATGTTTATATGTTTCAATAATTTTCGGATGTAAACCTCAGCTTATAAATTTCTACAAATCCACGTTACAAGCTTTTAATTTTTTGGCCATTCTTACTGATGGAAATCAGTTACCTTGTTCTATTTCCAGGAAATATTGATTGGATGATTGATCTTGTCACGATTGTCAATAGATTTATCCTCCTGCACTTTGAATTGCAAATTCTAAATTAGACAATTTTCGCTTACTTGTTGCTATCTCAGAACTTTTACATGCTGATTTTTTTCTTAAAACTTTTCATGTGTCTCTTCTTTACCATTTTAAATGATAACGTAGTGTACTTACCGCTTTTTAATTGTTTGAATATAAAATTTCATTTTTTGTCATTATACTGCATCAGTCAATCCAATAAGAGTGGCTTATTAAGGACATCTGTATTATTTCAAACAATATTTTGACGGTTCAATTAAAGTAAGATATGCTTCAAACTTAGTAAATAATTAATTTAAAAAATGTTTAGCTTTTCTTCAAATGAAAATTGCGATTGCTAGTTTTTGCTGACGAAAACTTAACGAACTGGCAAAGTTTCATTTTGAGTAATTGAATTGTTTCCTCTCAATCAATTTTTGATAGCACCAAAGCAAATACGAAAATCCAACATAAGAAAAGCAAACTGGAAAATATTTCGTTGTGTTGATAGGAGCCTCAGTTAATACGACTACATATTTAAATTTCCCCAAAAAAATGTTCTAATAAAATTTGATTTTAAAAACTTCATCTCCTGTTTTCAATTAAAATGATTGAATATACTAGGGAAAAAGATGTTTGAAAAAATGTACTAAGAGTTTTGCGGCAACTTTGTTGCCCTTACCTTTGAGGGTTTCACTATGTTGGCTCACTCGCTTGCAGCAGGAACTAGCACCCTTGCATCAATTTTATGTATCACTTATATGTACCATATACACATTAGTCCAAATTTGAGATCTCAATTGCATATACTTGCGTACTGTCTTGGTCAAAGCTTTTTCACATACACACACCCTTTTAAAGTTGAATGTCGACTGTTCTCCCCCCTCATCGAGTCTTTTTTCCCACCCTCGGTTAAAGGACAAGGACAACATGAAATTAAATCGCGGAATGCGCGGTGATTTAAATAAAAAATAAATTAAGAGAAAAATGCAAACAATGATAAAGTTCAAAATTAAAAAACGTTAGTCAAATTTTCATCATCAAATTCCCCAGCTTTGTCCTAAAATGACCAATCTTGTATTTCTTAAGGCAAATGAGATCCTTATCGATACCAAAATTGTTTATATAGCCTTTATTAATTTTTTTATATATAAGACTATGTTATTATTTTACATATTTCCCAACTGTCCTAAAAAGCACGGTAGTGTCGGGGATATCAGGAAATGTAGTGTAAAATGCAGAAAAATAATTTTTTGTAAAATTCCTGGAATTTAGAAATTTTAATAAATTTCCTATGAAACAATTGTAGGAAATGGAAATTTCATTTAGTGATTTCAAAGTTTTCATTGAGTCTTATATCTTGAATTTTTGTGAGTGCTGAGCTCTTATAATTTTTCAAATATAATTGTAGGTTTACAACCAATTCTTTGAGGGCAAAAGTGGAGAAATTCGGTGTCGGGAAGTAAATGGGCGTTTCATCCTGGAAGGCTCTTTAAGGATTCATTGGGGCATCCACGGTGTCATTCATTTAAAGGAAAACGATGATCAAAGAACTGTAGTTACTGTAAGAAAGCGAAATTCATATCGTTCTCCTAGTCCGGATTATGACACAGATGATGATATTCAAAACATATCACGTGATACTAGTTACAATGATATTTCTACATGTTCCGACGGTCCTAGTTTAGAAGTAAGTAAATCAGACACAGGAATAGATAGCGGTACCGACTCTGTGGATATAAGCTTAACTGATAGCTCATCGACATCCCCACAAAATACCGTCCCGAAAAGTGTAACATTACCAACAAAATTGGACGTAAAAAATTTGGAATGGGACGAGTTAGATGAGCTTTTACAAGTTGAGAGAAAAATGGACGAATCAGAGAAAATGTATCAAACTATGCCAGTGACACTGCCATCGCAGTCAAGTACTGAAAGTAATAGTGCTTCCACACAAAGTATCAGCAGCGGTTCAAAAACCGAAAGGTATGTAATAACTTCTTAACTTGAAATTTATTTTATATAGCATTTTAAACAATTCCCAAGTCTCATTGATTGCGAATATTAAACAACAGTGACGCAAGTGATGCAATAATGCGAGAGGCATATACCTTTCTTTGTTCTTCCACAAAAATTGTATTTTGTTCTGTACATTGCATCTGTTTTCATTAAAAATATAATCATTTAAAAAAATAATAATTATATAGAAAATATTCAGATCCGCCTGTCATCATATTTTGTTAATGAAGAATAAAATCCATACTGTTTTTTTGGGAAATGATTTCTAAGCTCACATAGATAATTTTCATTTTGAGCAAATTTTGCAAAGTAAAAAGTTTAATAGGGTAGCTTCTGCTTAAAACACGATTAGGGGGAAATATTTTGTTTAATAGTCAACTGATAAATACAAAAAAGTAAGTACCTTATTTTTCACAAAATTTTCAATTTTTAAAAAAGTTACTGCTTTATAAAGTTTAAAAGATAGAACGTTAGCATCACATTAAAATTTAAATAAGTATAACTAACCAAAATTTAATTTTGTAAAAAAAGTGCCAGATTGTATCTACCAGACATTAAGGTCAGAACAGCTTGGTGGTGACCTCATTTAATAATATCATTGTCTACAAACCATTTTTGGCCATATGACAGAATGCATCATTCTATTGGAAAATGGAATTTCTGTCTCAAAAATGTTTTGATGCTGTGGAGAGTAAATTTCTCGATATTTATCTGCATTAAAGGTGGGGTTATTGAACTCTATTCCTCTTATTTCCTTTTCTGACATACACCCTCATGAGACGTCATGAATTTTTAATTGGACTTGTCCCTTTTAAATTGTTTGTTCGAGCTGCCTTTTCATCCGACTCCCAACACCAACGGTTTTTGTTTTTCTTTGATGTAAACACAATCTTCATTTAGCTTTTGACGTGAATAATAATCATTGCCTTTATGGCAACATTCTGTATATCTATTGCATATCTGTTAAAATATTATTTCATACACTTATTTGGAGGTTGTTCTGGAACATGTCATAGTTCTGCGTAAGATTGTTCGAAAATGTCACAAATACTAATAGACACACAAATTCTAAAAATTGAAAATTGTTATTTTCCACACCTTGATTTTTGCAGTAAAAACGTTTCGTCCAAAATTTTGTTGGAAAATTATGCAAAATATTGTAAATGAGAACAGACTGGAACAGATTAACTTGAGCATTGTTGGGAGCTCTGTACTTGAATTTTAATGTTACATAGAAAAAAATAGCATATAATACAAGTTCTAATTTCCTCTTTCTTTATTGAAGCCTATCTGAAAAATTAAAAAATACCACCATGACGGAGGATTCAAGCAAGACACTTGTCGCACCAATTACGAATGGCACTAGTGAAGACAAGCTACCGCTTCTCGCTTCATCGATAAGCCAGGACGATAGCTGGCTTTTAAATAGTAACCATTTGAATAGATCTATGTCGGGTCCAGATTGTCTAGGCAGGATTAGGGATCCACAATCACCCGAATTCGATAGAATCAGTATGACCAGTACAGATATTTGTACCATGTCGGAACAACATGAGGAAGTCGTTTTCCGGAGACCACATAAAGGCTCGACAGCGATAAAACGTAGACCAGGAAAAAGGTTATCTCGTAGCAAAGTTAAAAGGAGGTGTTCCATCAACGGCCATTTCTATGACAGAGAAACTAGTTTTTTCACACCACCACACGGCAGTCAGATGAGCGTTTGGGTAACATCTCTAGTTAATACGGTGGAGGTTATAAATCTCATATTAGAAAAATATAAAGTTGAAAGTGATCCGCAGAATTTCGCATTGTTTGTTGTGAGGGATAATGGGGGTAAGTGAATTTTCATAATTTTTATTTCTTTTATTTTTCGTCAAAATTGCATAAAATATTTGTCCTTTTTTTTAATTCTCATTTATTTTATGTGAAATCAGAAGTAGGTACAACATGTTTGAAATTATCACATCGTAAACTTTCTATGCCTTCATCTCATCTTATTTCACAAATCAGAAGTTGAAGTTCAGGTATCTCACGTAGTACAGCTGTGGACAATAAAATATTTCAAGTGTAAATTAGTGAAATTTTGGTTATTTAATTCAGGCTTCTGACAAACAAGCATTTTTGCTCTGCTCTTATAAGAAGGATTGTAGGAGGCAGGTGCTTTTATTAGTTTCTATATTAATTTAAAAAGTATTAAAATGTAACAAATAACATTCACAGAGAAAATAATCTCTATAATTAAGATTGGTAGACATGAATTAGATGTTTTCTTTAATTTCTCCCAACATTTTCCAATTTTTGAAACTTATATTATTGACAGATGAACTTTGGGGGGAGGGGGGGCGTTTCTACAATTACTGATGTCTAAAAAAAGAAAAGAAAGTTGAGAAAGTTGCAAAAATTTTTAATCTTTATTCATTTATTTTACTAAAAAAAAAAGTTATGCAGTCGAGAAAACTGAAACGGTTTTAGAAACACATGTAAAAATTTTTATTAATTTATTCTGTTTCTTTCATTTTTTTTCGGATCATTTGTGGGGGGGGCTCGTCCCCATCACCCTCACCTTGGATCCGCTCCTGGTTATTATGCAGATAGTAAAAACTATTTTGCTACTACTTCAGTGTTGCTTTTATTATTATTTGTTGAAAAATAATATTAAAATATTCTTATAATGAAAAAGAAGAAACAGTTACAATAAACGTTGGCTTGGAAAAGTGTTGTCTTTGATACACTGACAATACAAAACTAAATAATTTTTCAAAACATATGCTCATTTTCCAAAATAAAAGGATAATCTTCAGCATTTCTCTTATTTTGACCATTACTGAATAAAATCTTCGGGAAAAAATTATTTAAAAAAAAAAATGGGAATTGACTCATTCTCATAAATTTTATTTTTTATCATAGCAATGCTTTTAATTTCAGAACAGAGAAGGCTCAAAGAAGACGAATATCCGCTATTAACTCGCGTACTGTTAGGGCCTCATGAGGATGTTGCTAGAATGTATTTAATGGACAGCCACAGTACACGGGAAGTGAGTAGCGAAGTGGCGCAGTTTTTGAATTTGTCATTAGCTGAATGTCGTGCAATACTTGGACAGTATTATTCACAGGAAGAGCGGGAAGTTGCCAGGATTAAAGACAAGTAAGAATTTTCTTATGCAAATTTATTTGATACAAGACTAACCTGCAGACTATATACAGGGTGATTCAGAACTTATCCAAAAAAAATAGATTTGAATGTACAGGGGACTCTTACAATACAATTTTGTAAAACAAAATCAAAGAGGCTATTCAAAAATGATTTAGGAACACACTTCTGCACAATAAATTAAAACGATATCCATCAACGCCGAGTTCCTATACATCTAAGCCATTTTTGATACTTGAAAAACTAATGTAAACACTATCACAACAATGATAACACTAAAATCGGATTTCAGTATTCGGAATCGCCTGAAGCCATGTAGGCGAATGAAGTTTGAGATGACAGTAGCCCAACGATGTAGAGGTTGAAACTACTACAACTTCAATAATTTTTTTCTCGGAAACTATAAGGATTTTACAAAAATGTTTTATCCAATATTAATTCAATTTTTCATGAAGCATCTATTCCCAAATTTTTTAGGATAACTTGTGAATCACCCTGTATAATAAACAGAAAAAATGCAATAATATAATAAATACAAACATGACCGACCACTATAGATGTGTCACAAGACGTGATCTGTTAGCCTTCAAAATGTACAGTTCGTCGGTTTATTGAAATTTTATTATTAATTTCGATGTATTCTGGTTTATTTATTTCGTATTCTGGCTTATTCCAACATTCCTGTTTATTTCTATTTATTCGCATTTGGCCTTATTCCCTCCTTGTTCCATCATATTCTGAGATATTCCATCATATTCTAAGTTATACCAATGTATTTCCACTATATTCCCATCAAAACTGACACTGATTCTGACTAGTGGATTACCCAAAGATGTGTTGCTTATTGTATCATTTGCTTAGGATCATACGAAATAAACACTATTAGCAAAAATGTACGAAAGTTTACGTTCCATTCAAGACACAGTTCTAATCGACAATATACAAGTTGTGCTGCAGATACCAACGGGACATACACAGAGATGTGACCAACAAAGAGTGACCGCAAAAATCGCTTGTTTTTTCACAATTCGCAGAGAACTAAAGAAAATAGATAAAAATATGTTTTTGGTCTCAAATTACTCGTAAAAAATTAAGATGAGCATAGCTTTTAGCTTTTCGAAAATTTTCAAAAATCACCCCTATTTAGGAGTTGAAAAGATGCCCAAAATGAAGAATTGAATATTACTAATAAATATAAAAACTATTAGCATGTGAATTTTTCTATTGAATGATTCTTGATACAAAGAAAGGTTTATTCTCATGACTGAAATAAGCATGTTGAATTAGAAAATCCACCCTTAAGCGCGCTCAGGAGGTGGAATCATCCCCAAAAATAGAGAATATCAGTTTTTACAAGTAATTTGCAACCAAAAACATATTTTAATGTTTATTTTCCTTTTAATTCTCTGCGAATTGTGAAAAAAACGGATGAAAATCCCAGGTTTTTTGCGGTCACTTTTTGCATCAAGTTTTGCTTTTAACTCAAAAAGAGTTGTGCAGAAACTATTGAAATTATACAGGTCTTTGGGGATGAGTGGATAGGCAAAACACAGATGAAAGGGTGGTACATCGGGCGTTCTGCCCGACATTTGAGCACAATAATAGAAAAATATGGAGCGTATGCGAAACTAGAAAGTGATCTAGTTATTCCAAAAACTTGTGTTTCAGGAATTCTAACCTAGAATTTGGGAATGACTCGAATTTCAGCAATTTTTCTTTCAATGCACGGCTCAAATGCATTAACAGTGATGTTTTCATTCAGTTGAAGGAGCTCATAGTTCACAACATCAAGGTGGTTCCACCAAATACAAAACATGAGCTTTGAACCATGAGTATTCGGCCTTGCCATCGATGTTAATGCATGACCAGGCGACCCCTATGATTTTCTATGCTTAAGATTATGATGGTGTATTCATTTTTCATCGCCAGTGACAATATGATGCAAAAAAACCTTTCTTCACCTCTTCTCTTCACCCTTTTAACATCTCTTGGTTTCAGTTCGTATGGCACTCAATTTCCTTGTTTTTTAATCATACCGAGTGCATTTAAATATTTGGAAACTGTTGTGTAATCAACACTCAACGATTCAACTAATTAATCTTGTGTGTGACATTGAATTTCTCATGTTTGAACTTTTTTGGTTGGCCAGGGCTTTCTTTGTCAACTATACCAAAATCATCACTTTTAAAACATCAAAACCAATACTCACATGTTTTTATCGATTGAGTATGTTCGTTCAGCGCAAGTTTCCAACAGCACTTGATGACTTTCAACAGCACATTTCTTTGAATTAAACAGGAAAAGTAAAACTTCCCGCAAATGGTGTTTTATTGGCTCGTAATTCAACATCTTGACACATAATAAAAAGTAAAGTCTAATAACAGAGTTTTGACATGAATATAGTTACAGAAGTGTCCAATGCGATATAGCATAAGTCACACCATCTATTGCAAATCCCTCAAAATTAATTCACAGTCCTACTAATATACTGGGCCTTGCTTCTTTGCGGTCTTTAGGCCTTTGACCAGACTATTTCTTATATATATGGGAATGACTATCTAGTTTATGTATTCTAATATAAAATTATTGTCTTTTGTAAAAAAGTTACAAGAGTGCAAAACATATACATCTTCTATTTGCTGAATTATAGATTATTTTATTTTTATGTCAAGGAATGAATCTTTTCATAAAAAAAAACTGATTCTAAAATGTGTAGTCCTTTTATTGCTCATTTTTTCCTGTCCAGTGTAACCTGAGGGATTATTTCCTTACTTATCTATCTACCGATATGACCAGTATCAATGGTGTTAACTGACAAAAGAGTTTACTATTATCTTCTCGAAAGGGAGTTTATAATTATCATTACACTTTAATTAATACATGGGAACTTAGAAATGTTGTACGTTCAGAGAATGAATACCAGACACTTACCGTATGTTGCTCATGTACAAGGAAATCCAGTGGTTGGTTGTATAGGGTGACACTTAAGTTGGAAGAACAAGAAAGAAAACCCAGAACGGGTTTTAATAACAATAAAAACAAACCAAACAAAATAACGACACAATGGGCTCGAATAACATTATTAATTAATTTATTGATACGCGACAACGTACCGAGATTCAGGGAATGCTCGATCCATAGCAAAATTTGGAATGACTTTATCCATTATTAAATTAACCCGAGACTCTAAAACTAAGTAGACTGTTCATTGTGGAACCCAAGGAAAAATTGCCTGTTTTTTCGGAGATCTCTCCTGAATTAGACACCTCGCTTCGACACACCTATTTCTTGAGTCCAGACGTTTATGTTGTTATTTTACTGGCGGGAACCCTGAATATTGGGACGCTTTGGCATAACTATGCCATGTTAATTATTATCTAATTGACTGATTTTTACAATTGTCTAAATAATTTTGAGACTAAACTTACAAACAACCTTATACCTTCCTCTTGTGACTCCGCATAGCAATGCGGGACGGATTAGTCAATCTCATTTAATTTATCCTTATAGCTTAGAAAATCCGCCAAAAAAACAGCTATTTGACCTATTATTATTTTCCTGACAACATTCTAACAAATTTAAATATCTTGGAATTCCTGTGTGCTTTCGAATGCATTTCGCGCGTTATTAGAAATATCGATTTTTCTCTTTATACCAGATGCTCAACACATGGCCCCGACGGTTGAAGTGAACTCAAAAAAATATTGCTAAATTTCATGGGGCCTTCTCCGAAGGACGGCCTTGTGGCGACGCTAAACCTACTTGAAGACTCTTAACTTTTCGATAAAATTAGTGTTGACTGAAATATTTTACTTTTTGGCCCATCCGTTCCGAGAACTAACAAATAAATTACTACGCGTCTCGGCTTTTGTTACACCAGTATGTTGCTACACCAATGTGACACATATTGTAGGAATGACCCTTTTGCATGTGTATGTAAATGTAGTTAGTAAATGTTATTTTTTTACAGGTACAGTGAAATGAAAGTAAGACTCACTCATAAAATGATGCAACTAAAAGCTGGTTAATCATCATAAAAATCTATAGATAGATAGCTTCCTAAAATTTCTCTCATCCTTTTTTAATTACATCACTAAATAATTATTACTATTTTAATATGTTTTGTTAATTATTTAAAGCGTGTTTGTTTTAATCTATATATTTTTTCACTCCTTTTTTAAATGCTATTAGTTGTTTTTTTAAGCCGTATATAATACGAACCTTTTAATTATTTTACTAATATTATCGTAGCAGAGTTGTATATTTAGATATTAAATTATGTAAAAAAAAAAATCAAAAATATGTCAATATTAACACTAAATAATGTTTTTGGAAGACTGTTCTTCGTTAATTCTATATTACTTAATAAATATTTGTAATTATTTAAAATTTCATTTTATTTCCTGTAACATTACCTTCTTTATTATGTAACGGTTTAGACAAATCTAAATAAATAGTTACGTGTGATAAATTAACAGGATGTTTCACATTGTTCAAGTCTTTTTAGTTTTTCTGTTTATTTTAATATTTTTTCAGGTGAAACAAAATTAAAAATTAAATAAACCCTTGTGCCAAAAAGATTGATCAAGAAGTGTTAAGTATTTATGAAACTATTTTTGCCTAACTAAAAATCTTGTTAAAAAACCAGACAAATGAAATTTACGCAAATCTATGGGTGGTCCCAAATTTCCTTCTGATATTTTCAGGACCATTAGAAATAAGAAATCTCGTAGCTAGAAATTAAAATGTGACAATTAGTATTATTCGTTTAGTTAGTTTAGTTTCCCTTTACTTGGACAATTTGCCATCTGTAAGAAAATTACCCAAATAAATCCTTGCACCAAAACACAAAGTTTGTTTTTAACAAACTATCGTCTAACTACACATGCTTCTGCCCGAATGTGACTGGATTGCTAAATGTTCCGTTTTGCATAAGCCCGAGTCACGCTGGGGCATAAAGTAATCCGTGTGGTTTTTGCTTTACTTCCCCGAATTAGACTTGAGATTCATTATAAAAGCAGGTTTATACACAAAATTTTCTACATTGAAAGCTTTGAAGGTTGTACTATACAGAGTGTTCCTAAATATCATGTATACAGGGCCGGCGTAAGGGGTGAAACAGCGAAGCAGATGTTTCAGGCGGCATTTTAAGACTTGATTATTAACTTTTTAAAATTTTAGAAATTGAAAATTGCACAAAAATCTGAATAAAACATTTTTTGACCCCGTGCTTTGTGCTTTTATTAATTATTTAGAAATCTACGAGTTGAGCGAAAATTTCCCTAACATCGTAGTATCTTTAAGGATTTTGTTAACCATTCCTGTGTCTTTGGCCAGTGGAGAACGTTCTTTTTCAAAATTAAAAATATAAAAAATTATTTACGATCCATCATAGTGCAAGAACGGTTAACAGACTCAGCTATCGAGAAAGATATAACAAATAATTTGGTTTACGCTGAAGACTTTGTTAATGAAAAATATAGAAAAGTTGATATGTGATATGTGTAAAGATCCCGTTTTGATATTATTTAGTTTCTTTTTTGTTTTAAATATTTTTTATTTTTGGTTTTATTGGAATATCTGTTTTATTTTTTATAAGATGTTTCTTATAATTTCTGTTTGTTTTTTTGCTAAAATGTTTTTTTATTTATTTTTGTATATTTTTTATAACTTTTTATTAATAAATTTGTTATTTGTTCCAACGGGCGGCAAGCAAATATTTGCTTCAGGTGCCAAATACGCTGGCGCCGGCCCTGCATGTATATAAGGGAGGGAGTAATTCTTTGGCCTATTTCATGACTAAAAATTCATATAAACATAGGTCCGCAAACGCCTCGTTACCGAAATTTTAAGATTTTTTTAGTTTTTTCTCTATAGCTCCTACAGTTTTTGAGATATTTTTCTCAAATTTGGAATATAGGTTACGCTGTAGGGCTTACATCATTGGCCGTACCAAATGGTCGTGATATTCTACAGACCATTTTAAGAATTTCAATTTCATCCAACGAATTACACAGAATTGTTTTTTATTTTTATTCTCGATAACGGTCGCATAAAACATAAGAGACCAAAAAGTTTCTCAACAAAACATAAAATTCAGTTTTGATTTTAGAATCTACCAGTGGCGCACAACAGTCTGTAGAATATCACGACCATTTGGCATGCCGAATGATGTAAGCCCTACAGCGTTACCTATATTCCAAATTTGAGCTAAATATCTCAAAAACTGTATTAGTTATAGAGAAAAAACTAAAAAAATCTTAAAATTTCAACACCCTGTAGATAGGTAACGAAATAAGCCAAAGAATTACCTCCTCCCTTATGTACATGATATATAGTACACCTGTAACACCCTGTATATTCATAGATGTCTCTCACTATTAAAATACCTCTTGATTCTCATGTGAGCACTGGTTACATGTTTATGCGAATTGCGACTTGCGCAAACTGTTTTCGGCAGATTACATTTTTATTTTTTTTATTTTCAAAGTTGGAGATAAAAATTAGATGGGAGGGGTGTGAAAATCTACTCCTACAGATAACAGCGTTTAATTTTTGTCATAAGTTGAATCAGAATAATATTTATTTCAATTTTTGATATTCTGGGCCACTGGCAATCAAAATTTAAAAAGTGGTAATGAAAAATCTGTCAAATATATATTGCTATGATTGAGAACATTCCATTTTTGTCATTAAAAACACAAAAAAATATCGAATTAATTTTTGACCAACATCACTGGAATTCAAAATTTAAAAAGTGACATGGAAACTTTGTTAAATACACAGGGTGGGCCATTAGTATGAGAAAGTAAAATAACTCCCTTGTTGCTCATAATAAGAAAAAAAGTTTACATAAAAGTTGTACAGAATCAAGAAACTACAGAATTAATTTGAAACATACAGAGTGATGAATAAAAACGGGACACGCCAAATATTACATTTTCTAGATGGAACACCCTGTATATTTTTAAACATTTCTGAATAAATTCTATATATGGCAATATAAACAGTTTATGATTTTAATACAGGGTTGCCAAGTTATGTAAAAAATTATTGGAATTTTGGAAAAAATATGACCTCGAAGAAGTATTAACTTTCACAGGGTTGCCACTGACCTGGAATACCTGGAAAACCTGGAATTGTCAGGGAATTTAGAAATTACAAAAAAGTCAGGGAATAATCAGGGAATTTTGTAGAGTTATGGTAAAAGTCAGGGATTTTGACTAAGGTCAGGGAAATTCAATAAAGCCAGGAAAAATCAATGAAATCATATTGAATATAGCATCAAAACTTGCAGAAAATTTGCTTGCATACCGGACGTTTTATTCTGAACAGATTTTTCTGCTTGGGTTTATTCGAATACGCCCTACGTGCGTTCTGAACGTGGTAACTATCGTATATGTTCCGTGGTGGTAGCCACGTGAACGCGCTATTTCATTTACTTCTGTTTTTTGTTCTGTTGTGCCCCTTCTAAACGTGTTCTCTGAACTTAATCTAACTAATTTTCACATAGACACGTAGACGGCGCAGATCTGTTTCTCTTCTATTAAATAGAAGAAGAAAATAGAAGAAAATCACTTAAAAACATGGAAAATAATTTTCCATGTTTTTAAGTGATTTTAAGTGAAAATAATTTTCCATGTTTTTAAGTGATTTTTACTTTGTGGACGTAGACGTAAACCGGCGCTATTGAAAACATGAGCAAGAAGAAACCAGTTTTTAATGCAGATTGGGAAGATTCCAATATAAATCCCGAATTTGCGCAGTTTATTAGATCTGTAAAAGGCAATCCATTTCAAGCACATTGTTTAATATGTATTTTTGTTATTTTATGTGTTATTTTTTTAATAAAGTTTATTTTTTATTTTACAAATTGTTAATTACATTATTTTAATATTTTCCTATAACTACTGATAGCAATCCTGGAAAATAATGTGCTTGATCATGGAAAACCTGGAAAAGTCAGGGAATTTCAAATAAAAACTTTAGTGGCAACCCTGTTTCAGCTACTAACACTTAGAACAAAATAATTAGACAAAGTTATAGGCAAATGTGAGACAAAGGCTCCTATATTAGCTAATATCGATATTTTATACAGGGTATTTTTTATAATACGATCATTTTTAGAAAGTTTAAACTTGATTTTCTAAAATTTTTGAAAATGGAACACCCTGTATTTTATTGTTCTATTATATTCACCTATCGGTCCACTTCAACTTTTATTAAGCATGTCCTATATCTAAAATTAAGATATAACAACATTTCTGAAAAATCTTAATTTTTATTATTTTATAGAATACCACAAATAAATATTAACTAATAAAATTAACTCAAAAAAGAATGATAAATTATGAACTGACAAGTTGACACAATGTGATAGTTTTTTCCAAAGCCATTTTGTGCGACCGAAAATAATAAAAATTAGGTTTTTCCAGAAATGTTGCTACATCTTAAAAACTAACAACTTTAGGTGTAGAACATACTTCATAAAAGTTGAAGTAGACCGATATGTGAATAAAATAGAACAATAAAATACAGGGTGTCCCATTTGAAAAATTTTAGAAAATCAAGATTGAACTTTCTTAAAATGATTGTATTATAAAAAATGCTCTGTATAAAATATCGATATTAACTAATATAGGAGTCTTTGCCTGACATTTGACTATATCTCTGTCAAATATTTTTACTCCAAGTGTTAATAGTTAAAAGTTAATACAACTTCTTCGAAGTCATGTTTTTTCCAAAATTCGATGAATTTTCTACATAACTTGGCAATCCTGCACTAAAATGTTAAACTGTTTATGCCATACATAGAATTTTCTCAAAAATTCATATCATTAAAAATATACAGTGTGTTCCATTTAAAAAATGTAATATTTGGGATGTCCCGTTTATACTCATTTTACTTATATAAACTTTTTTCTGTAATATGAATAACAAGGGAATTGTTTTTCTTTCTCACACTAATGGCCCACCCGGTATATTGTTATGAATGAGAACATTCCATTTTTGTAATAAAAAAAGTACCAGTACTCGAAGATTTGCCACAAAATCTTAAGTGTTATGTTATAAAAATTAGGTGGGTAACCAGATTATTTATTTATGTATATTTTATTTATCATTATTGATTATTGCATTCTATTAGAT